GGTTCTGCTTCAGGAATTGCAAGTACTACGGAAACCAAAGATGCAATACGATTCTGAGGCCAAGCAACTTAGGAAAGCATTGGAGGTTGTTGAGAAGGATATTAAGTCATTGCAAGAGGAAACAGAAAGGTTAAGACAGCAAAACGAGCTATTGAACAAGCACAGTAGTAAACGAAAAGCAATGAGAACATCCATGTTGTGGAATGAATTCAAAGGAAACCATCCACAGAAAGTCTCGTAAAACTAGACTTAGCGATGCTCATTGTGTGATATCTAGGAAGAAAAGAGTGCACTAATTAACTTGAGCTAGAAATTCTTGGTCCAAATTTCACAAGCTGCGAATTTCGGTTCAAATTTCATGAGTTGTGAGTTTAGTCTAACTTTTTACTCCCTCCGTCCCACTTTGATAGTCTTGGTTATTTTTTCATACAGTTTAAGAAAAAATAGTTAACTTTGTTGGAACAATCAATTTAGGTAGCTATGACAGGTTGTCAGCCTGTGCAATAATAAAAACCTGCTCAACTAAAGTTAATTTCTGTAGATAGTGGTCAGCAGGGTCGAATCCACAGGGACTGGGAGTAATTATTTCTTTTCCAGTTCACAGTGACAAGGGGGGTGTTTTTGTCTCAGGGGTGATAATTTAAGCAATCTAACTAAAAGTAAAATAATAAAAATAAAATAGCCAACTAGAAATTAAATAACAATTTACTAAAATCAAAGGATCTAGCCAAGGAATAACTTCAGCAATGGTTCACCTAATTGATCATTGAAACAAAGGCAATTCCAATTATTTATCAATAAATAGGTTATAACTACCAAACAAGCGATGGCAGTCAACCCCTCCTTACTGTGTCGGTGATCAAGGTACGCCCGTTAATCACTGCTCTAATTGAGAAATAATCCTAGGTACGCCCGTAGAATTTAATTCCCCAATTGCCTTAAGTATTAGAGGAGCCCTATTCTAACCAAATAACGCACTACCAGGGTTATTTTAGATTAGCCCGCGTATTCCCCTGACACAAACCTAATCATGCCAGTTGTCACTATTTTAGAGCAATTAAACAATTACGGATTTAATGCCCTAATTGACAATAGATTACCCAATCAACTAATTATCTGGATCCAAGACAATCAATTAATTAAATAACCATAAGAATAGCAATCAAGAAATATGCGGATACCAATAAATAAAAGAAAAAGATTAAATTAAAACGATCTCACAAGTTTAGATGACCCAAAGCATCCGTTGTCCCTTGAGTAGAAAAAGGGGTTTAACTCATTGTTGATGAGAAAAACCCATACAGAACTGATGCAACAGTAGCGGCCATTGTCAAATTCAATTCGGAGAAATCAAGAAGAAAGACAAGCCACAGCAAGGAATTCAATGTTTTTGCTCTCCCTAACATACGGCCGAAAAGAAACTACTAACGAGAAGCAAAAGAAAAGAAAAGTCAAAGTTCCCAACTACACTACAAGACGAAAAACTAAAAACTAAAGCCAGCTCTCCTCTGCAATTCCTATATTTCCTATCTAAGTGCTTGCTCCTCCTGTGCGGCGTCCGCCGCACGAGAGAAAAGAAGAAGACCCTGAGGTTTGCTTTCTTTTCCCTTTTTCTAGTTGCTGTCTTCGGTCAAAATTACCAAAAAGGTCATGCATTTTCTTGTTCCAAGAATGCCCTTGATTGCCTGCTATTTGAACTCTCTCCCGATGACTGTCAAATTGGCCTTGATTGTGACATTTTTATTCTACTCCCTGAAATAAATACAAATTACGAAAAGTGAGTAGAATCTAATAATTAATTCACATTGGGTTAAGTAATAGGGGAAATTAATTATAAAATAAATGATAAAATTACAACCTATCAAGCTATTTTCCTAAAATACCCTCACATTAATTAGAGTATAACTTTATGGGAACTTGAATTGATGGTAAAAAAAGAATTAACTCTCATTAAATGGGATAGGTTTATAGTAACAACAACTTACATTGAATAAGGGTATTTTAGGAAAATTAAAATACAACTACATTCTTCAATTGGAAACTGGACTACAATTTGGGACAGACGAAAAAGGAAGATAGGACTATCAAAGTGGGACGGAGGGAGTATTATTATTTGTACCGAGTGTTGACTAATTGTGATTAATGAGTTGTAAATTGTTGCATTGATTCTACAATTTTAAGTTACATGTAATTATATATATATAAATAAATAAATGGCTCCTTAGTTTAAAAAGGGCACTCAATTTGACCTTAATTATAACCCAAGGCATTTTGTACTTTTTTTTTTAAAGGGTCATGGATGATGTGCCATTCTTAGAGTTTTTCCATGTCACTATACTAATAATGTCTGGATAGTTTTGGAACATCTTAAGTCTTAGCTGTCTTTTTCTTTCTGTCTTGAACATATGTTGACAGTCTTGCAGGTTTTAGATATTTAGTTACATAATTTCTTATACTTAGTGTTAATCAAGATGAATTGTGTCTCCACATTTAATGTTTAATATCAGTGAGCATTCATCATTTACTAGCCATATATCCTATTAGGAGAAAAGTGGCATCCTAATGCAATGTATCATACAGAGTGTAGCAAGAAAATGAAAACAACATTGCTAATTAAAAGAAAAAAAAAACCTTGTTTACTTTATCTCTCATTCTCTAAATATTCTTGAATTGGATTTGAAATAGCTAACATTAGAGTCATCATTAATTTTGCAAATTTGAACTCGTTACATGAGCCCATCTAAATTCTATATGACACATACAAAAAAAATTCAAGTTGCAGTATGAGAAGGAGTAGATATAAGTAAAATTTTTTAAAAATAGCCTCAAAAATATCTAAAACACCCCAATAAATAACTACAGTAAAATTTTTTATATACAATGTTACTATAAAATTTTTGAAAAACAGCCCCAAAGACACCTAATCCATACGAATTAGTCAACTGGGGAACCCGTGGCTGGGACAATTACAACTATGACAGTCCCAAAATAGTTTCGTACAAAATGTAAACATGTTTGTTCAGAAAACAAATCAACTTAAACACAATATAAGCCTAGTATATTTTTTGTTAGCTTCCACACATGTTAAAATCAATGTGTATATTTTATAATTTGAGCGATATATTCTTTTTCTTAGCCAATCACAGCTATGAACCTTTTAGGAACCGTTGCTACTGCAATAGTGCTTGTCCCAAATTCTAGTTTGGGTGGGAAAGGGAGGGGGGGGAGGACAATTTGCTAATGCTTTAAGAACCTTTATAAGGCTGTGGGTTTTTTGTTACAATTTCTAGTGTCACCATATTTCCTGGTTTCCATATATACAAAATAAAAAAGTCAACACAAGTTAACTTAATTGGTAAGGACGGATTACTTTCTCACAAAAAGTCATATACTCGAATCCCACTGCTGATATGAGAGGGTTGTGTTGTTGATGATTGATTTGTATATTTGTTGGGTTTTCACAACAAATTTACACAACAAATACAGAAAAAATTCTTTAAATATAGAAAAAGTTTGTTGGGTTTTCACAAATATACACAAAAATCCTTTTTGGGGGTGTATATTAGAAAAAATTCTTTAAATATAGAAAAAGTTTGTTGGGTTTTCAAAAATTCTTGAAATACAGATAGTTTCTTGAAAAAGAAGTTTCTGTGTCCCTTGCACGGCCAATATATAAAGGGGAAAGTCAAAAGTCCAACAATGATTTGAAGGAATTGAGGGCTTTTCATTGTCAGAACTTGAATTCTGGTTTTGTATAGGACTCACATAATCAAATTTGGGACCTAAAGGATTTCATTGCAATTGTTGAGTTTTACAGGCTGACATTGTTATTTTTATCAAATGTACTCAAATAATATTGCTCTTACCTGCCCCATTGCAGCTATTATTTAATGAAATGCAAGGAATATGGAAGGATCAAAAAGCACATGATCAGATGGTTGAGCATCTTAAGAAAGGATTGAAGGTTCTTGAGCAAGATATCAGTGATCGGATTCAAACTTTTGTATATGACCTATGATCCCGGAGACAGTGATCGGATTCAAACTTACCTAAACATTTTCTTACTAAAAGAAAAAACATACGCGAAATAACCGTTTAGTGAGCTATGCTGCTGTAAATAACTGCAAGAGAAATTCATGGTGCTGCCAAAGTGGAAATCTACTCCAGAGTGCAAAATGTCGTCATGTTTTACTTCTTCAAAGTTGACAATTAGCTTTCCGCCCTTAAATTTCACAAAAAGAATCCATTGACATTTGATTTTATGCAGCATCCTACTTATCCTTTTTTTTTTTTTAGCATCCTATGGATCAAAACTTGTAAAACTGAAGAAGAACAAAGGTAGTATCACAATATTGTTACCTAATGTGGGAATTTAGTATGTGTTTTATATACTTTAGTACACAAATAGTACTTCATTTTTTGAGTTCAAGGGAAACTATATATCTTACGAAGAGGAAGAAGAATAAGGGAAAAGCTCGACACTGGAATAAAATCTGATTAATGTTTATTATCTACTGAACTGGTTCTTGAGGGGAAAAAAGAGTACTCTAACCATAAAATTATTGATTATAAACCAAGATTCAACACTCGAAAAAGATTATGTTAATCTTAGCAACGAGTTTCAAAACCAGAAAGTGTTGAAAGCGAAGCCATGTGGGCTTATTTGTTTATCAAAGAAGTCGCAAAATTAATCAAGATCCTTTCCTTGACGTGGGGAGCAAGTGTTTGTTTTTTTTTTTTTTTTTTGATAATCGCAATGCTATTATAAAAAGAAATCACCAGGTCAACGATATTAATTTATTCTATTCCGATCCAACTATTGTATTAAATATTTCATGACACATCCCGCCATGCCTAACTCAGACTAACTGCTATATGGGTATATAAAGCCAGTTGAACTCGATTTAATCCAAGTCTTCAATTTTTCTCCATTTGCTTTTCCAATATTTTCCTTCTTCTTTTCCCTTCTTTAAAAATTTCTTCTTATTCAATCACTTTCTCTTTTTTCATTCAGTACTAGGTGACAGCATATTTTGTCGAGAAAGCTTGAGGTATGTTTCGGTCATACAACTTCCCCTGTTGTAATTCTATTTTTACAATTTTTTAGAATAAATTAAAAAAAGAAGTTATAATGTTTGCGGTATCTAACAAATCCAGTTAAGATTTCAGTGCATTTTCCACTTTAAGTGCTTGTTTACAATGTTTTTTTTTTCTTCAGAAAATGGAAACTTAAATTATGAATCTTGCTTTACTGGTTGTCGATGACAGGTTTGTTTGAAAGAGGAACTTCATGGACCCTGAAAAGCTGATGGTTTTAAACACTGATGAAAAAATTAAGTACGTGGAAAGTTTGATTAACAAGGAGAGTCGAGCTCGAGTGCAAATGTATCAAGAATTTGTGCAGAAGAAGGTGAAAACAGAAAAAATAAAATAAAAGAACCTCTCATACACAATGATTTTCATTTTTAGGTAAAAAAAAAAAAAAGGTGACGTAATATTCTTCTCTTTCTTTGATTTTTGTTCATCATATTTGCAGAAGGATCGAGCAAGAATTCTTTTGAAACTAAACCCTTCACCATGGATGAGAGGATACTATTCTACATATCGTGAGAAACATCCAATTCACTATTTACGGCAAGCTCTTGATGAGCATAATGGTGGCGGCCATAGTGAACATGTTATCAAGGTACCTAAGGATATTATTCTACACAACACTTACTAAGAATTCTGCCACAACTTTGTGAAAATTATTTGAGCAAATTTCTCAATTTGCATTTGGACATTTAGCAGCAGGGATAGCTATCTGGAAATATGTCATATGCTTCCTTTATCTCCATACTAGCTCCAAAACAAAGCTTTCTAAGTTGGCTTGGAAATGTAATTTGAGATCTGAACCAAAATATCCTCCATTTGGTTCCTTTCTCTCCAACAAACTTCGACATCTTTATGCTCTACTTGTTGGAAGTTTGGCATTTTTATCTGGACTATCAATGCTATGTTACATCTTTAGGGCTTATAATCTCGAGAAATTCCTATTGAGGAAGGGATGCAAGTCTCTTGCATCTTTTGGTTAAATTGTCGGACTTAATTAAGATGTTATGATGAAAGTCTGGGGTGCAAAATCAAAATTGATGAAATAGTAGGAGAAAAATAAAAAAATGAAAGTCTGGTGGGCTAAAGTTTGAGAAAAATCTTCTTGAGAAACTTTATGGGCTCCTCAATTGATTTACCTCCTTTTTCTCCCAATTTGTACACCAGATAAAGTGTTTATTTCACCGATTGCGAAATGGAAGGAACTCTGTGGTTGAAGAAAAGAGAATCCTTCGGGACGTCAAATGTGCTCAAGAAGAATGTGAAAAGTCTTGTGGGGCTGTTCGTACAGAAAAATTTGTACCTTGGGAATTGCATTCAAAAGGCTCGATCAAATATCAAATGGAGGTAAGGTTTCTTTTAAAGAAACTTTTTCTCTTTTTTTTTTTTTTTTGTGGCTTAAAGTTCGTGAGGAAAGCTGCTTTGTTGGCACTTGAAGTATTCATAAAATCTTCTAGTGGCAGTTGTGATTTATTCATAGATCTCGTGTATTCTTTAAATATAGAAAAAGTTTGTTGGTTTTTCACAAATATACACAAAAATCCTTTTTGGGGGTGTATATTTATTGGGTTTTCACAACAAATTTACACAACAAATATAGAAAAAATTCTTTAAATATAGAAAAAGTTTGTTGGGTTTTCACAAATATACACAAAAATCCTTTTTGGGGGTGTATATTAGAAAAAATTCTTTAAATATAGAAAAAGTTTGTTGGGTTTTCAAAAATTCTTGAAATACAGATAGTTTCTTGAAAAAGAAGTTTCTGTGTCCCTTGCACGGCCCATATATAAAGGTGAAAGTCAAAAGTCCAACAATGATTTGAAGGAATTGAGGGCTTTTCATTGTCAGAACTTGAATTCTGGTTTTGTATAGGACTCACATAATCAAATTTGGGACCTAAAGGATTTCATTGCAATTGTTGAGTTTTACAGGCTGACATTGTTATTTTTATCAAATGTACTCAAATAATAATATTGCTCTTACCTGCCCCATTGCAGCTATTATTTAAAGAAATGCCAGGAATATGGAAGGATCAAAAAGCACATGATCAGATGATTGAGCATCTTAAGAAAGGATTGAAGGTTCTTGAGCAAGATATCAGGTCTTTGCAGAGGCAAATGGAAAACATAAACAGGGAAAAGGGAAAACTGTATGCATACATTCTTGAACTCAAAAGATGAGAGTATTGTTTTGTTAAGAGTTGATGGCATTTGCACAAACCAGGTGTAATATCATATCCTTATTTAGTTGGGAAAAAAAAAATCTGCATGTACTCAATTTTGGTAGCCTAGCCAACATTCCTTCATTAGGCTCCAAGTGTTAATTCCTTGAAAGGTGAAAATTATATTGAGCAAGTAATTTAGTACAAGATAGCAAATAAATGCGAATTTGTGTTTATATTGTAAATTTTATGCATCAACTATTAGAAGAGGACAAACAAAACAATTTAGAGACCCCTTTTTATGGATTTATTTAAAATTACCATGGATTGTGCCAAATCCCTAAATTATGAGGTGATGTGTATTGAAGGATGAGATAGAAAAAAAAAACAAAAGATTAATGCAGAAAGGATTCGTATTGTAATGTGGTCAAGTGATTCGCCCATATGCTTTTGAGGTGAAATACAGACTCCAAATGAATTTAGGGACCATAAAATCAAGTTTTTAAAATCTGAAGAATAAAAATATATTCATTTCAAACATGAGGGACTAAAAAGTTACATATGAGCGTATGAGGGAGTAATTGTGCGACTTCCACGAGCACGTGCTATGCTAAAACGGTGTCGTCTAAGTAAAATAGGCCGGCCAACAATCCTGTTTTGTTCCATCGTACCCCCGCTACACCAGATTAGACACCTAAGTATTTCTAATTTCCATCCCAAGATTTTCTTATATCATTAAAATGATCCCACTTTCTTATATCATACTAGAGAAGCTAAGTATTTTTATTCTTACGCAAATTTCTATTATTTTAATTCTTGTTTGTATTGATATTTATGGACTTTAATTGAACGAATTAAGTTCAACTAATGAAACCACTTAGGCCAGCATAGCCAACATTTTGAGTGTATAAATCTTGTTCCCTTTTATTCATCAACCACAAATGCATTAGTATTACATAAAATTTAATGAATATAGAGGTCTTGACTACTCAATATGAAATTAGAGCTACTCAAAACTTTAATAGAAAAAAGAATCAAGCTCAATTTTTGGAGATTGTCGGCAAATAAGACCAGAGGAAAGTGAGAATTTAATTAAATAATATTACTAAAACTTGATTCAAGATCATTAATAAAGAATTGAAGAAGTGGGAAGTGAATATAGAAATGTACATATGCATTCTCCGAATCAAAGCATCCACTAAAATTAGTTTTCCCTTTTGGCAATTTTTTCTAGATGGCAGGAAAATTTTGGGGATTAGAATTTTTTGAGGGGTAGGTTGTGTCAAGAATGGAAAGGGGATGGAGAAGGGAGAGAATTTGAGAACAATGAAGGTAAGATAGTGGAGAGAGTGCGATGGGTTTAAGTCAAAATAATAGAGTAGAGAAACAAGAGTAAATGAGAGATGAGGCAAGAGGAAAAGAACATGTAAAGAAAAAAAAAAAAGAGAAAAAGGGAAGTGGAGAAGAAGAGGAGAGGATACGGTCGACGTAGGAAATGAGGAAGGGGCTGATTTTTTATTTTTCTTTAAGTAAAACCTATTATTTCTCCATGTAAAAAACAGATAAAGTGAAGGCTGTTTTAGATAATTCAATATGTCATGGTGTTAGGGTCGGTATAATTTTTAAAAATTAGAGGGGAGCCTCATGAAATTGTTAGAAACTTTTGGTGAATTTTTGAAATTGTTTGTTTTTGAGATGGCAAAGCATACGCTAATTTTTTGTTTCTTGTGGTTGAGTATCTTAATAAATCCTTCTGGCATTAAACGAAAGTGAAACATCCTCCTCTTTTTTGTTTGAAAGGACTTCGAAATAAATAAAATAGAAGAACCGGGGTCATGGTGAGAAAAGGCTGGCAACTCTTTATTAAACTGTAAGAATCATCCATACTGTAGGAAATAGTTTGGATAGCAAATGCTGTTAAAAAACAGTTTCCATAGTTTGTAAGTGTCATCCACACTCTTTGTAATAATACCAAACTTTTCCCAGTCAAATGAAAAATTCGACCAGATGTTATATAATACTAGAGTAAGCCAACTCATAGATTTATATTATGTTTGAAAACGTAATTTAGCACTTAAACTTAATACATTCAGACGCGTTTGATAACTAAAAATTGAACATCTGAATTAATTAAGTGCCACTGAATTTTCTAAACAAAACTTACGTTCAAAAATAAGTGATAAACTATTCACTTATCACTGAATGTGATATGCACTCAAATATATTTGATTTAATACTTAACAATTCAATAATTTAATGAATTCAGATTCAAATTTTAGATTTCAGTTTTATCAAACACACCGTTAGTCTAATTCAACATATAGGCAGACTTTTCATAAGCCGATCTGAATAATTCATATTGGCAACAAAACATCGCTGACATAGTTTAAAATCTTGAAAGAAGAGAGAATATAACAAATTCAAACTGTTGCTGTTACTAACCAAATTATTCATCTAACTCTATTCAATTTTAGATCTATTGTATCTGTTGATTATGACATACATTCGTATTTGTTGTATGTCTGGTGTAATTTTTATCATTAGTTAATTGTAATGAAAATTTAGTGTTTATAAAAGTAAAAAAAAAAATTAAAGAAACATTTATGCCCTTTGACCGCCCTTTAGATGTAATAGAATAGTCAATACTAAAGTTGTTACTGTAGCACAGTTGACGTGGGGAACAAGTGCATGCTTTACCTGGTCAACAATTCTCTCCTCCTCTGTACTATTCCAAAGGTGACAATAATTCATTGCCTTCATTAGGCACTTCGATCGCCACCATGTTTGAACATTTGACACGACCACCTGCTTTACCACATTTTACTTCTCAGGTTACTACTCATTTCCTTCACAAAATTTTTGCATGTTTGTTTCTAAAGTTTGTTGTGGAAAAAAAATTCTGCACAATTCTTGAAGTACATATTTTTGTTGTTTTGGGATTTCCTAGTTTGTTTTGATTTGAATAGTCTTTTTCTTCTTAACTTATCTTCTGAAAAAAGCCGAACTGATCGTCAAACCCCGTTAGATCAGCTATTCCATCTGTGTATTTTGCTCCTCGTTGATTCACAGAAGATTTATCAGTAGCCAGGCATGGAGCTTTTGACTGTGGATGAAAAAGTTAAAAATAAAGAAGATTTGATTCAGGTGAAGAGTCAAGCTGGAAGAAATATTGCCAAGAAATTACAGAAGAGAGAGGTGAATATTGAATATTATGATTGCAATCATTTTCATGTACAAAAATCCCATTTTTTTTTCCTCTTTTTATATGTACTATCTAATATTTTTTCCTCTTCCGCCATGGAAACCATCCCACACAGTTTGATCGACGTCATATCCGGGAACAATTAAGGATGTTGTTGCTGTCCCACAAAGATTTTATGCCCATCAAAAGAGATGCAATTCGATATTTACAAGGAGCTCTAGATGAATATAATCATGTAGATGAACTTCAAAAGCAGGTAAATCTGGAATAATCATGTGTTACTCCATTTATTTTGTTCTTTCCATAGTAAATTAACTTTACCATTTTGATTTTCCTTTTTTTTTTTTGGATAATATGAACCATATTCACGTACTTTGATTGTACAAATATTGATGGGTCTATCTAATTGGGGGCATCTGTTAAAAGAGGTATTTAGAACATCAAAGTTAAATATGGAAATGGTTTAAAAGCAGGAAACAATGAATGTGAGTGTGTGGTAACTGTGGTGTAATTTGTTTTTGGGTTTTTCTACCGAACGTTAACACACTTATATTCCACTTAACCTATCGTATATATACACACTAATAATTACTATTGGTTCTTGCATTTATATGTTTTTTCTAATTAATCCCTTTGCATTTATATACTTTTTCTAATTAATCTTATATTTCTAAAAATCTAACATCTTAAATTCATTTTAATGAGATCGTTGGACAAACTGTTCGTTTTTTTGGGTAGAAGAAAAACCCAATTTTATTTAGTTTATTATTTGAGTTTACTGATCATAGTATAGGTGATTGATAATTTCCAATTTCAACTTTGCAAAAAATAGATTAAGAGCCTGTCTCATGGGCTGAGAAGTGGGAGAAACACCTTGCTTGAGGAGAAACAAATCCTTAGACAAATCAAATGTGCCCAAGAACAAAAAGAAAAGTTTTGTGCAGATCTTGAAGCAAAAAATTGGAGTCACTGGCATTTACCAGAAGTTTTAAACTCAAAGGAATTTGTCAAAAGTCATTTCAATGTGAGATTCCTTTTGTTTCTGCATCCTTTTTTTGGTTTTTTTTTTTCTTTTGGGTTGAATATACACTCATGTACAACTATTTTTCAGCGTCTATACAATGAACTCGAAGGAGGGATCAAGCAACAAACGGCATATTATTCGAAGGCTGCCCGGCTTGGGAAAAAACTGTCTGCTGTTGAGAGAGATATAAGTTCTTTGCAAAAAAAGCTGGAAAAACTAGAATGCAAAAGAGAAAAAATGTATGAGCATCTTCAACAACTCAGAAGTTCTGTCCAAAACCCTTCTTGATTTGAATTGAAAGGTTTGCAAGAGTTACTCTAACCATACTAGAGTCAAAATCCCCTGGTCAATGGGATAAGGGGCATAGGAATGGTTAATAACATCCTTGGTTTAGAGCTACTAATAATATGGTTTAAACATTTAGGCTTGCACTTTAGGTCGTCCAAGAGTCATCTTGCAAGTCTAGACCCGGTATCATGTTTATAAAACATTTTTGTATCAATAGTAATTGATCGTTGTGGGATCTATTTATAATACATTTTTTACTCTATCAATAGTATTTTTTTTATTTTGTCTTTTTTGTTTTCAGATTATGCAAGAAGTGAACTTTGAGCCAATTTTAGTTTTTCAAACACCCTTTTGATGTCGGCCAAAAAACAAAGGGTAAAATATATTTTACTCTCTTGTGATTTAGCGATTTTTTACATAACTCTTGTATAGTTTCAAATACTATATATAACCCTTTTATAGTTTGAATTAAAGTACACGACGGATCTTCTGTCCCACTTCATGCTACTCTTTGTCCTATTTTTTATTATATCACTACAGGAAAGTAGGCTTTTTGTGACGTTTTCGCTGCGGCAGAAGGAGAAAATGCAGCAAATAAACTGCACATTTCAAATTTTGTGGCAAAGTTGACAAAGGCGCATAATTTTTGTGGCAAAACGACGTAGTTTTAATGAATCTAGAAAAAGGTATTATAAAAAAGGGGGAAACCGGCTTTCACTTCCAATGTCTCCATTCTCTGCTAATTACAAATCTTCCACACTTCTTTCTTCCAAATTCTAAATTCTGATTCCGAATTCCCAATGAACTTGTCTCGCTCTCTCTCTCTCTCTCTCTCTCTCAAATGGTCAAACCTAATTCCACCTCCTCCATTTTCCTCCCAATACGGCCAACGAATATGGGGCAACCACCTTCATCTTTGAGATACAAAGGAATTCCAGAAGAATAGACAGATTGATTGCTAATTGGTTTCGACGCCTGAAGCTAGGGTTTTAACACGAGGAAGATAGACCTCCTCCATTTTTATTCTCAGCAGTTGAAATCGATTCCCAATTGCAGTGCTTCTCCATGTAATTTTGATCATCGGTGAACTAATTGTAGCTTTGAGAGAACTTACCTAACAATTTTGCTAGCTATTCTGGTTCAAAAGCAAGGTAACTAAGCTCAATTCCTTTGCAATTTTTTTTCACTTTATTCATTTATTTTATGGTAAAATCAGAGAATTTATTACATGCCCTTAGTGCTCGGGAGTTTATAGACTTTTGTGGTTATTTTTATGTATTTTTTGTAATTCTTTAGAATATTTAATGTGACTTAAGGGGAGATAATAGGAGTTTACTCTCGTTTTAAAGAGTCCAGCCCATATTGCAGATGGAAATGAAATCGCCTGAGAAACTCAATACAGTCGTTGTCTTGAAACAGCCAGATAGCAGCCGTTGGCAGAAGGTACATTTGAAGCTTAAGTGCACTCCATCCTCTGGTTTATATATTTGTCCGATTATCATGCTACTGATATTAGGTGTTATTTGTAATTCTGTCATAAATGCTTGTAAACAAATCTCCCTGTTCTTGGAGACTGGGATCACACAAATAGTTTAGGAGAAATCCCAACTTTGGAGCATAATCATTTCAAGAATGTGGAAAATGGCAATCAAGTATTGCTGTTTTAGACCAAGTAATTCCTGATTTAATCCTTAAAAATGGTTACAAGGCATTCAAACTACTTAAAAATGCACTTGCTTATGGTAGCAAGAATTTTTGCTTCACACTATGACATGGTATGATAATATTGTAACACAAAATTGTTAAGCATGATTGCCTCTACAGGTATAATAGTAGGCCCACCTTCTCTCATTATTAGCTTGGTGTTTGTGTTATTTACATAACTTCTATCAGGACCGACACTAATGCCTAGTTTGGGAGATGAGATTTGAGCAGAAAAGAAAAGAAGGGAAGAGAAATGTAGCATTTCCCACGTTTGACAGTTTTAACTGAAATAGAAAGGAAGAGAATCTGACAGATTTGGAAGGAAGAAGAGGCTGCTACAGTTTAAAAAAATTTCCGGCCCAAATCGGGCGGAAATCAGAGAAAAGCTAAGGAAAGGCTGCAAAAAATTTTTAGATTACCCATTCTATCCTTAAAAAGCTATTGAATGAAATATTTATTGACCAATGTATCCAAAATCACCTCCTTTCTTTCATAAACTCCCAAACAACACTAAAATCTCTTCCCTTCTTTTCTTATCATTTCTTTTCTCTTATAACTTAACCTTTCTCTTCTTTTCTTTTCTATCCTCAACTCACAAACTAGCTATAAGTATAACCATTCTATCTTGCAGTCACCCAGGAGAGATTGTTGTAGAGTTTAGCCATCTAAAAGGAGCACAAATATATATATATATATATCTGGGTAGGCAAATGCAGAACGGATAAGGTGTAGTAGAAGCAGCAGGCAAGAAATTCAGCTAGGCATCTATTCTCTTTTCGTTTTCCTTTAATTTCAGTGGACATTGTTGCTGGAATTCGATTGCGATTGAGTGGTGAGAATTGAGAGAGTTGAAAGTATTGGATTTAGGCTGGAAATCAGAATTAAGGTGCTTTCTAAAAGAACCGTAGGATCCTCAAATTGGGATTATTGGTTGCATACTTTCTCATTTCTTAAATTTTTGGAATACACTGGATATATAATTGCATTATAAATATTCAGTTATTCAATGATGGGCCAACTAGGTACCATCAGCAATATAGTCATAGAACGGAACATGTATGTATAAGCTATCAAATCTATGCTAATATATGAAACTTAGTTTTGGATGTTAACGTTGTTACTAAACAAATCACTGACTGGAGAATTGAAAAGAATGCTGCCAATGTTAAAGTGAGCTACACAATTTCTACAATAAGCCTTGGAGTTCAATAGCTTTATGGAATTCAGTAATCATGCAGTTTTTAGTCATGTGTAAAATTATGATATATGGATTCAAGTCATGCAAAATAGAGGATGGAAAATGCTTTTAATGGTATTGTTAATTATTCTTTTATCGTTCTTTTTTTTTCTGAATATATGTTTGTGTGAAATGTAAATTCTTTTAGCTTTCTCAGGTCCAATGACAAGTTAAATTGCTAACTTTCTTGGCCACTGAATGGACTTTCATGGCAGGTTAGGTATCAACTCATCCATGTATTGGCTCATCTGTAGTTAAGTGGCCCTCTGAATGGTAGCTAACTATTTGGTTAAGGATGGTTGAATACGAAATAGTAGCTAATTTAATTTTTGCCAATTGAGTGCAATTCTGTGTTCACTGAGTCATTGACAAATTTCGCCATTTCCTCCTTGGCTTCAACATACCATTTAATAATTGGTGTTCTTGGTATTTAGTAAAATTCAGTTTCATTTTAAAAGAAAATTCCTTATTTACCAAATATTACTACCTGTAGCAAATTTGGTTAATTCTTTTTGTAAGAGTTACCAGTTTCTTATATGTGTGTGTTAATTCTGCCCAGATTAATACATGCAATGGCTTCTAGTTGGCTATTTCCCAAATAAGCTTATAAACCCAAGATGCGGACTGAAGACTGGACTGGCTGGTTGGTTACCCCATCTCCAACGATGCAGTTATTACTAGTTAGACCCATATTATTGCTCGTTGGCATTAATTTCATGTCATTCCCCATATTATTGATGCCCATGATACCACCACCAAGCTGATTTGACATCATCATTTCATGTATGATTTTTTGAATAGAACTCTGGGAATCATTTGCATCTGTGTCACTGGAAAATGTTGGCTGTTGCATTGCAATGTTCGGTGAACTAGCAGAATTCATGTGCGTTCCGGTCGGTAAGCCACCAAGTGAAGTCTGTGGAGGATTGTTAGATGATGATGCTTTTGGAGACTGGAAAGGAGAAGGATTGAGTTGCGGTTGTAGTAAGGTACTCAAGGAACACTTGGAGATGGCATCTGAACACCATTTCCTCCATAAGGACAGTTTGCACTACTCTTCGGGTTTTTGCTGTCTCGAGTTCATTGAGTTTTGATGACGCAGCCCACATATATATGGCACTAGTAAAGGAAGTTGCAGGAGCCGAATTCAGTGGATTATTTACATTTGCCATGCCATTTCTGGAAGGAAGTTGCAATTATTATGAAAATTGTTTCAATGTGGCCTAACCATATTGAAACGTGATGACTTTCGCAAAATTGGTTGGAATTAGGAACTACTTGTACCTTTTAGAATTAGGTTATAATGATGAATTTGGAAATTTGCAATGATTGTTTCCATTTAGATAGTGAATTGAATTAACACTTGAAAGGGGAATGTACTACAAGCATGGAAAATAATTCATAAAAATATGCAAAAAGTGTAGATCACTTCAGTGCATCTGTTTATTGAAGGAGACTATTTGTGATGCAATTTTTGTGTCGCATGATTTGCCGTGCAATTTTTGTTCTGCTTGCATATTTTGTGGCACTAATCTGTGTCGCTAATTGTGCGGCAAATACTTGCGACACATTTAAAATAAAGTGTTGTTTTCTTTTGTAACGGCTACTTTTGAGGCACAAAGGACTTGCGTCGCAAAAGCGTCGCAAATACTTTTTTGCGGCAGTTTTTGGACTTTTTGCAGCACATTTTTGGCGTCGCAACAAGCCAAATTTCTTGTAGTGTATATTACTATTTCTCCTTCATAAATATTATGTTTTAGTTCTTTTTTGTTTCCTTAACATCTAATAACTATTAATTGAGTAAAAAATAAATACAATATTCTCAAAAAAGTAATATATAATAGAAAATTAAAAAATACAACAAAAAATTCATAAAAAAATCTCATTTTTTTATGCATTTCCTTCACTAATTTTGCAAGCTTTCCCATCAATTACTCCCAGTCCCAGCAGCCCCAGCCTCTTTGGGTTCCTATCCCATCACACTGATTTGTCTGAGGTTTCACTACCCTTCCTTTTTAAACTAGTGCTGCGCAGGACATCTGCTCAAGATGTCAAAGAAAATGCAGCCATGTTGGGTGAGATCCTTATTAAATATCTCAAAGAACAATCTCGTGGCCCTTCTTGAGGACAGGGGTTCTAAACAAGTTGACTTGAACAAGGAGATCCTAAGGCTCAATGAGTATTTCTTGGAGAAATCAGTTGACAGATCTCTGTGGTGTGGCAGATTGTGATGATATACTTGAGGGGCTGAGTCAGATGGCAAGTCTTTGTCAGGAGGGAAGACTTTATTTTTATGTTCTTTGTAATATGAAGTTCAATCGCTCATATTGTTTCCATCTGTTCCTGTTTGTAGTTTGCAGTTTTTGTTTGTGAATTGATAGGATCAAGGAAACAGCAAAAGGCATACAATTCTAAGGCCAAGCAGCTTATGCAAGTACTAAAAGTTGCTAGAAGGATTGTATACACAACTTATCAAATCGAAAGAATTTCTTGAGATCCATGTCGTGTTATGAATTGAATTGGATTCATGCTGTTCATAATTGTGGTGGTGTATATGCTTTATTTGAAGTTTGTCATAGTGCAAGATTATGTGAAGATAGTGATTTTGTGAGAACCCGTAATTTTCCAATTTCTAGGTTTCTCGTATTTTTCATGGCTTGTTTTCTGCATTTTCGTGATTAGAAAAATTGCTAGATGAATTTAAGGAGCAGATATAATTTTTAGATGATTTTTCTAGTATCGAATGGATTTTGAGAAATTAAGAGCGTATACCGGACGTGGGACCCACTAGTGCGAAAAGTTCGGAAAAATTCGACCAACTAGGTTAAGTTTTGAATACTGGAATTAATTCACCGGGTGTTAAGAGATAAGTAGAGGGTGCTAAGCGGATTGATATAAAAGAGACAAGGTAGGTAGGTATTTATTAAAAGGTGACAAGTGTCACCATTTGAGTGGTTGAACCTTAAGACCACTATTCATGGTCTTACCATTTGACTTAAATAAACAAAAAATGACCCAAAAATCATCAAAAAAATCCTCAAAGGTGGCCGGCCCTCTCTTGCTCTCTTTCTCTCTCTCTTACTCCAAGCACAAGGAAGAAAACACTTCAATCTTGTTCCAAATCACCAAAACCAACCATCCAACCTTGATTTTGCTCCATAAAACCACTTAAGGAAGTGTTGGTGAGTTGTTGTGTGAAGTTTTTTTTTGGAAGGTTAAGGTGACCAATAGCTCTCTCTCTCTTGTTCTAAGGTAAGTGGTGAAGAATCACCCTCCTCCTTTAATTGATGCTTAAATCATGCTTAGTGGTAGTATAAGATGCAAGTTGATGGATTATTTCTTGATTTGTGGTTGAAATGATGAAGTTTTATTATTTTTGGGGATTTTTCTGTTTTAATATAAGCATGATTGTGTGGCTATCTATGATGATTATAAATGGTATATAATGACTCTAGGAGGTGGAAAAAGTGATTAATTGCAACCAATTTTTGGTTTGGAAGAAATTTCAGAAAATTAGGGTTCTTGAGGGAGCATTCTGCCCGAATTTTTAGGTCCTAGTTAGAGGCCGAATTGGCCTTGGCTTAAAACATGAAAGTTGTAGGGAATGACATTTTAGAAGTGCCTACAAAATTTTAGGTCAATCGGAGTAGTGTATAATGAGATAAGTCGAAATTACTATTGCTGTTCTGGTTTTACCCGAATGTAAGAATTGCGCCTGTAATTGGCTGGAATTTCTTCCGAATTGGTTGTTGAGGCCTTCTGATGAAATTTAGCTCTGTTTCTTAGCTTTCAGATGGTTTTATAATTTCTAGATTTGGACTTGGAGAGCCTGAGTTATGATGTTTCCGCTAGCATGCGTTTTGGTGAATCTGTTTTACGTTTTTGATGTAGTATCTTGCATTTTTAACCTGTTTGCACTCAAAACTGGGTTGAGTGACCTTCTGTTATGTTGTAGCCCTGTCTTTTAGCTTCGAAATGGTGGGTCTTGCACCCTCATCCGATAATCGTAGTGAAATTGGTGTCATTACCGCAAAATGAGGACAAAAACTGTTTTTTTCAGGGCCAAAGCTAGTTACATTTCCGAAATTTCTGGTTTCCTTTAATGTTTGTATATGCTTATGGAACCCTATTGGGGTCATGTTTGGCCTTGGTTTATGACTCGTTATCGAGTCTCATTGTATTTGTTTGCATGTTTTAGGACGTGACCGTGGTGCACAACATTCTTTTGACGGAAGTGCATGAAACCACATTTGCTAGCTTGGTGAGTGTACTACTCACTTGTGTGCTCTTATATGGCTTTGATATTTGAACTTGAGATGTTGAATGTTAATTGATTGAAGTGAGAGTGTACTTTATCACTCTCACTTATTGTTTCGCATGTTATTAAAAAGTTATTGGAATGTTCTATGAAATGTTATATGAAATGAAATACATGACTTGGTGTCGTTTGGACGAGTCTCCAACGACTACAAATGTTATCAATGAGCTCAACCCCATTGGTAATTGATTGAATCGAGCCGGCGAGGGCTTGGTCGTGCCAATTAATGTGCCTTGGGGCAATGTTATATGGAATCTTGTAGTATGATAGACTCTCGATTCCGGTTTACTCGAGTAATACCACAATGCACGTGTTTGGATTTCGGGCCTGGTTGGGGAATGTTAGGTGGAAGGAATGGAAGTAAAGTGGAGTCTACGGTTGGTTATTGTTGAACATTGACGGAGAGTCAATGACGTTCGATCAAGAAATGCAAACGAGGAAAAGGGCTCTTGAGAGCCATCTGTATCCTTTTATCACCATATTTGACGTGTGCCTTTGCTTATGTTTATTATATTGATTGAAAGCTTGATGCTTATATGCACTTGGTTGCGTAAGTGATAGTATCTCACTGGGCAATTAGCTCACACCGTTCCTTTTGTTTTCCTTACAGGAATATAAACTCTTTTGGAATGGCTTTTGATAAGGGGTTGCCGAGTGGTCCCCTAAGTGCATTGTGATCCAACCTTTTGTTTGAATTGTAATTTGCAAACCTTATATGGATAATCTTGTAGGATCACTTTTGTGATGCCATTTTGGCTTGTATATGCTAAATGACAAGTTGTAAATGTATTTTTGATGTTTGGTTGGATTACGGACAGGTTCGGCTTCCAAACGGAAAAGAAAAAAAATTTTGGCGAGAACTGCCTGGCCTAAATCCGGCCAGGAATCCGGCCAGAAACTGGCCGGATTTGCGGCCGGATTGCCTGGGGAAAATTTGAATCCGGGCTGTTAGCTACTGGACAGTATCCGGCCAAGAATCCGACTGGTAATCCAGCCAGATTCCGGCCGGATTCTGCTGTGTCAGGCCACTATTCATCGTTTCATTTTTTTATTTTTTTTTATTTTGGTACTTGTGGTTTGTCCGAGTGCGTTTTTACTTTCCCGAAACGTTTTAGATCGCGTGTAACTACTCGTTAGTCCTGGCGAGAGCTGGGCAGGCAGTCCGCTAACCTCTTTGGTTCGCCTTAGGGGAAGGTGGGGCTGTCACAGATTTTGATACATACTTTTCTATATCTTACATAGTTTTGGAATTAGTGTTAAGCGAAATAATAAGCATGTATGGTAAGCAATATACATAGTACGGAAGTGCAAAGAACTTTCTCATCATAAATTTCAATTTTGGACACTTTGCATTTATATTTTTAAACTCGGACCGGGTCGGCCGGTCCGATCGGTCGAATCGAGAACCGGCCAACTGTTCGGTCCAAGTTATCCCTAAAAACCGGAAAAATAAAAACTCGGTCAAACCAGATCAAAATTTGGGTTTGACCGGGAAAATTGAAGAACCGGTTGTCAAAGTTCTTTTTTTTTGAAAGGCCAAAGCATTTTTAATATTATGTTTTGACCCCTAAATTGTTAAAAATTATTAATATACCTCAAATATTTCATACTTTATAAATGTTGTCTTAAAGTTTGGTGTTATTTTTCAATTAAGTCCATAATTTTAATTCTAAACTTGTTAATGTTCATTAAATAATATAAATTACTACTTGATTGTTCTAATTTCTTTGTATTTTCTTGTTAAATATATTTGAAACATCAAATATATATGAATATACTTTTATTAATATTAACAAACTCTTAGGTATTTTACATATACTATTTTAATTTTTAAATAATTTTTATTTATGACATCATCCGGTTCAACCCCGGTCGAACCCTGA